TTATTATACTACTAATATTAATAGTAGTAGTAATAGTTAGGAGGTAGTAATAGTTAGGAGACTTCAGTGTAGAGTGGGCAGCCAGTCCAAGGCAGGTGGTGGTGACTGGGTTGTGGGTAACTGGTCTGAAGCGGGTAGCCCGGAGAGCTCTACAAACAATCATCCAGCAGTGTCCGGCCGGACAGGTGGGCAGTCGTTTTCTCGGAAGAAAGGTAGGGAAATGGAGTTAGTTTAGTTATGTATGGGTGTATGTATAGTAGTATGTAAAACATTTCCAGAGTGTGGCTAACGACTCCGGCAGATCTGACTATAACAGCTTAACTAAAAGGAGAGAACCAAAAGGGCACACAGACACGGGAGCACCCTGAGACAATCTGGCATCCCTCTGCTCCACCGTCCACAAACCTGAGTGATCGCGTGTGAGCGGCGGGACGACAGCACCAGTCTCAGTTTACTATAATTCCCTGTGTCCATGGACCCCTGGATCTGCTGCCTTTATCCAAGGGATAAGGGTACTTTTTATTCATAAAAAGGACCTGATCATTAAAAAGCAAAACATTTTTTTTATAATGTGAGCAGGGGTCATTATGGGGTATGTTGCCTTGAGGAAACATTGTGCAACAATGGGAAGAAATGATATAGAGGTGTGTTCCCTAAAGTGGTGACACCTGGCTTGTGACTGGTCAGATCCATTCCACTGTAGCATAATGTTGCTTCTAGGCAACAATCATATTTCTGTAAATTCTCATAACAAAAAAAAATGACACTGAATGTTTAAAAAGAGGTTTAAAAGTGACCACTAAAAGGTAGTATGACCAGGAACATGCCTTTTGTTGACATACTCAAACTGTTCCCTTTATTCTTAACCCTGTCATTGCCTTTAAATACAGATGATGTTATTATAAAGTGAGGAAAATGGGTTTGTTGCCCTGAGGCAACATTGTGCAATAAAGGGTTAATTTTGACCACTGGTCACAACCATGAACATATTAACACACGTGTGATCCTTCAGCTTAGCAGTTTAGCCCTGTCCATTCTTGTTGAAGTGCAGTGTTGTTCCTGCAGACAGGCAGGAGTGCAGTTATTGGAATGGGGAAACGATTAAACGTTGTGCTGTTCATGGCTGTCGGAAAGCAAATGGATAATCACAGCCTTCTGAAAGGAATGTAGTACAATACAGGGCAGCCAATCAGAACACGGGTTATGTCTTAAAGGTAACAAAAACAACTTATTTTGTAAAGGATAAATAGAGACTGGAAAACAGCCGTATTAAACTTTTGTGGTACATAAAACTACAGGAACATTATAATTGGACCTCAGGGCAAAATAATAATAAAATACAAGAAAAATGTAGAGTTTGTGCCCTTTAAAGGTTTGGTGAGCCATGTGATCTAAAGCTGTTTTTCCGATGTTGTGAAAGCCCTCGCAGGTGCAGGGGGTTAATGGAGTTGTGCTGGCAGTTTGTTGGTAAGAGCTTTAGTGGTCTGTGGAATCCAGAGATCTTCTGATGCTTTGAAACACAAGTTTGTCTGACTCAGACCTCCATGGATTTAGTGACCCTTCCCATGATGCCTCAGCCTCATGCTCACATTTAAACACACTCGTTCCAAACAGACGCTAATGCTGAAGTGTCTTGCTGTCCCTTTGCGTCTGTGCTGTGATGAAAAACCTTAAAAACAGATATGAGTGAAACCTGACTCAACACTTTACTGTGTAAAGATGGACTGTGTAAAGATGGACTGTGAAAAGATGGGCCGTAAAGATGAGCTGTGAATAGAGGGTCTGTGTAAAGTGACTATGTAAAGTGACTGCACAGATTGACTGTAAAGGGAACTATGTACAGAAGGACTGTGTAAAGTGAGCTGTATCAAAAATGGACTGTGTGAAGTCACTGTGTAAAGTTGGCTGTAAAGTGAGCTGTGTAAGTATGGACTGTGTTAAGTTAGTTGGGCAAAGATGAACCATAAATATGCGCTGTGAAAGGATGGACCGTGTAAAGATGAACTGTATAAAGTAAGCTGTGTAAAGATAGACTGGGTATAATGAGCTGTGTAAAGACTATATGAAGTGACTGGGTAAAATAGACTATAAAGTTGAGCTGTGTAAAGATTCACTATGTAAAGTAAGCAGTGTAAATATGGACTGTATAAAGTTATGTGTAAAGATGGACTGTGTAAAGTGAGCTGTGTAAAGATGGACTGCATAAAGTGAGCTGTGTAAAGATGGACTGTATAAAGTGAGCTGTGCAAAGATGGACTGCATAAAGTGAGCTGTGTAAAGATGGACTGTATAAAGTGAGCTGTGCAAAGATGGACTGTATACAGTGAGCTGTGCAAAGATGGACTGTATACAGTGAGCTGTGCAAAGATGGACTGTATACAGTGAGCTGTGTAAAGATGGACTGTGTAAAGTGAGCTGTGTAAAGATGGACTGTGTAAAGTCAGCTGTGTAAAGATGGACTGTGTAAAGTGAGCTGTGTAAAGATTGACTGTGTAAAGTGAGCTGTGTAAAGATGGACTGTGTAAAGTGAGCTGTGTAAAGATTGACTGTGTAAAGTGAGCTGTGTAAAGATGGACTGTGTAAAGTGAGCTGAGTAAAGATGGACTGTGTAAAGTGAACTGTGTAAAGATGGACTGTGTAAAGTGAGCTGTGTAAAGATTGACTGTGTAAAGTGAGCTGTGTAAACATTGACTGTGTAAAGTGAGCTGTGTAAAGATGGACTGTGTAAAGTGAGCTGTGTAAAGATGGACTGTGTAAAGTGAGCTGTATACTGTTGGAAAAATGGAGCAGAGCAAAAGCCGATTTGAAGTGTTTCTAAGGTTTGAATTGATGTACATTTTTTTGAAAAATTTTCATTGAAACTAAAATGTTTTAGGTTGAACTGATAAAGAGAGAGAGAGAGAGAGAGAGAGAGAGAGAGAGAGAGAGAGAGAGAGCATTATTCTTGAAGGCACATCTGGTTTTCCAGTAGAGAAAGCTGGAGATCCTCAGTGTGCCTGACTGGAGATGTGATGTGATGCGTATTGTCATGGCCGGTATTAATGAAAATGTATTTTTAACCCTGCACTCAATGCTGAGCACTCTCTCTCTCTCTCTCTCTCTCTCTCTCTCTCAAAAATAAAGCAGGAGCATCTGCTGCTGAATGGATTAAAGAGGACAAGGAACGACTTTTTGCATCCATTATTGATGGGATTTGAAAATAATGCTGCAGGAAATAAATATTTACTCGCCTGGCGGTGTACCTGGACTTTCAGACACCGATCACTGACCTACATGGAAAACGTAGCATGAAAATCTGAACCAGTCTGAGCACTACAGCGTCTTATGACATGCAGAAACGGCTCTTCTTCTGCATTCCTCACCGGTACTGTGCAGCTTTGTAAAGGCAGGAATCTGATTTCCTGAGCGCTGCACTGCGTCGCATTTCAGTTTACTGTTTTCACGATGACTCATTACGCAAATGGACAAAAAAAAGAACGCAGGAACAAAACTTCTTCATCAGGCTAAAAACGGCTCCATTATTACTTTACAAACTTTCTTCTGGTACCATTATTATTTTCCTAAAAACTTTTTTATAAAGAAGTTTCTTTATTCTTGGTGCAACTTTCTGGACTCTAATTGGCGTCTGATGTGCAGCAACTTGGCGAGTTTGTGTGTGTGCGTGTGAGTGTGTGTCATTAAAACTGCAAAAGACATTCTGAGATGAGACGAGCTCTCATTAAAAATGAAAATCGTAAAAATTCTCATTTTGTCCCTGAAAACATTAACCGCAGCATGTCCTTATCAATAATTTATTCCGGCTCGTTTTCAGGCCCTTAAATCTGTGTTGAGTGTAAAACAATGAAACGGCACGTATGTAAGATAATCTACTGTTCTGGCATTAGCATGTACAAGCATGCACGCTAACTGTATCCATTACATCCCTCCATTACAGTAATTTACCAGCAGCAATTACTGTATATATACCGTTTTCTCTTCGCTCCCCTGTATTTCCAATGTACAGCTCATGTATGCTGTAACATGCAGCCACAGCTGTCTGAGGAACATCAGTTCTGCTACATTATGTAGGATAACTTGTAAAAATACAGACAAACACCACAGATCTTTTTAGCATCTGGCAACAAACACTTAAACGTTCATGTGTAATCACTCTGACTTTACAGCAGTGTGGTATTGTTTATCAGACACACCATGAACTGAATTACTTTTGCTCATGCAGGGCTGGAGTTAGTGATCCTGGGGCTCTAGGCAAAAGACAAGAATGGGGCACAACTGTCCACGCTGCAAAAAATATAGATTTATATTTATAATATAGATATATTTAAAATATAGATTTCTTTTTTGAGTAACCACCTATCAATGCTAACAATGGGCCTCATTCACCAACCACTCTTAAGAAGATTTTTGATGGACAAAAAAACATTTTAACAAAAATAGCTTTCATTTTTTGACGACTCACATCTGTCTGCAATTCCACATTTGAGCTTATGAGGAGGAGCTCTGCCATTTAGTGGAGAAAAGGAGGGATCTCTACCACCCTTCCAGTCAATGGGCCTCTTTCTCATCTTCCTAATTTTTCTTAAATGTGTTTTTGAGAAAGATCCTAAGAAAAAGTCTACATCAGATTCATGACGTTATTTACCAGAATTTTAACAGAATGATTTTTATGATTTTAACAGAAAGGAAACAATTTGGAGAGAAATTTCCAGAGTGCTGGACGTTGGAGGTAAATGAACACCATTTGCTTTGTATCTCTGATTGATAAGGATACTTATCTAGCTAGCTAAGTAGAGTTAACAGATACAAGCAAGCAGATAAAACCGAGCTGCCCAACACAATAGTGTAGCAATTAAACTCACTCATTTTGAGCTGATGTCTTGAGGTCTTCTCTGATTGGTCTATAGTTTGTTTACCAGTGCAGACACCCTGAAGGCTTCTTGACATTACATTTGAACACTCACTTACTGTTGTTTCATGTTCCTGCTTTTGCCCCTAGGCCAGTTTCTGTAGTGTAGCGGTTATCACATTCGCCTTACATGCGAAAGGCTCCCGGTTTGACCCCAGGCAGAAACACTTCCTTGTCTGGGTTCTAAAGTGTTGCTCTAAATGGGGGGCAGTCATAGGCTGGAGGTTAGGGAACCAGCCTCGTGACCAGAAAGTTGCTGGTGAGTTTCCCTGAGCCGACAGTACGTGACTGAAGTGCCTTTGAGTAAGACACCTAACCCCCAACTGCTCCCTGTGTGCCGTGGCTAGGGCTGCCCACTGCTCTGGGCAAGTGTGTCACTGCCCCCCTAGTGTGTATGTGGTGTTTCACTGCATGGATGGGTTAAAATGCGGAGGTGAAATTTCCCTGTTATGGGACTAATAAGGGCCACTTAACTAGGCAGCTGCCTAACTTTGCCAAGTGCAAAGACCACTCTAACGCTTATGCCAGTGTTTAAGACTATAATGATGGCAGTACCCAAATAGGAATGTGTTTTAATGCTTTGTTATTCTAATCATGATGCTGTTTTGTGTTTCAGTTAACTTCCTGTTTCTTACATTCCCATGTATTTATGGGGTAAGAAGTGAACTGCAGATGAAGAATTGTTGCTTGGCTGTTTCAGTGGTATCCTAGGCAGTTGCTATGGTGATGTTATGCTGTTGTTTTGGTATCCCAGGTGGTTGTTAGGCCATTGCAGTGCTATTCCAGGTAGTTGTTAAGGTGTTGTTTTCAAGCCATTGTAATTAAAACAAAAACTAACAAGGTGCTGGGAAGTTCTGCCCCCGTCACAATATTCAGATGGGCTGCTCATAACTGCACAGTTTGCGTACCTCTTTACGTAAAAACAACATGCAGTGTATAAAACATTAGAAATGTAATTAGAGATAAATTCCATATTCCTTACGCATATGTGTAGCTCACATATGGTCACAAGTTAGGCCTAGAAAACACACTTCAGTGCACTTTAATGCACAATAACTGTCTATTTGATACATTTAACATACTGGGAGGAGAAAAAAACTGGCGCAATTCATTTTTTTGCTATGTTAAACTGAGCAAAAAATAGAAATTATGCATTAATATTGGCCACATTGTTGTGTGTTCTTTGTAGTAGATTTGTTCAATTGTTTTCACTTAGATGATCAACAAAATGTCATTCAGCTGGGGGTGTCCAAATTTTTGCCTAAGACTGTACATAAGGATCAGTTCTGCACCAGCTCACCTGGGGACTATCCAATCACATCATGGATTTCAATGAAAAAAATGAAGCAAAAAATTCGATTTAATTACTGCATCCATGTAAAATTTCAAACCTGTATAATTCATGTTATAGTTATCATTTTTAAAGTTGTACCCATTCAGCTCTGAACTGTATATTGAGTTTACAAATAGTAAAAATTTTGGATTTCCAAAATAACCTTTATAATGCTGCCAAAATTCACTTGACTGGACAGTCCCTATATGAGTTTGCATGGATGTCCAAAAGTATGTGGACACCACTCCTAATTATTGAGTTCAGGTGTTTCAGCCACACCCATTGCTAACAGGTGTGTAAAATCGAACACATAGCCATGCAGTCTCAATAGACAAACACTGGCAGTAGAATGGGTCATACTGAAGAGCTCAGCAACTTTAAACCTGGTACTATCTTGGATGCCTCCTTTGCCACAAGACAGTGAAATTTCTGCCCTGCTAGATCTGCCCTAGACAACTGTAAGTGCTATTATTGTTAAATGGAGGCATTTAGGAGCAACAACAGCTCAGCCACAAAGCGCCAGACCACACAAACTCACAGAGCAGGGTTGCCGAGTCCTGAAGCACAAAGGGAGTAAAAATCATCAATCCTCTGTTGCATCATTCAGTACAGAATTCCAGACTGACTCTGACTGAATGGGCACAAAAGACACACTCCAAAATCTTTTGGAAAGCCTTCACAGATGAGTGGAGGCTGTTTTAGTTGCAAAAGAGGGCCATCTTCATGTCTTCATCTTAGTGCCCACGCTTTGGAAATGGGATGTCCAACAAGAGTGTCCACATACTTTTGGCCATGTGGTAAATATAAATAAATCAATGTGAACGAGCATCAGTTGCACTAATAATACAGCCGACACTGCGTCCCTTCACAGAATTGACCAATTCTGCATGTTTTTTACAAATCAAATTACAAGACATAAATCGATATATGGTGAAATTTGTAAGAGTTATATTATCTTTGATTAAATTGCTTAGTATTTGGCTAAAAAGTTGTCCTGAACATTTTGCAAAGTGTCCCGAATTCTGTACAAAATGACAAAACTTGTACAAAAATAAAGGTTTTTAAATGGTCCTTAGCTTGTATACGCAGTTCTAGGAAAACCTGTAATTGGTATGGAACCTTTTCTTCACACTCCCAAACTCATTTACAAACAAGATCCAAAAGTGGTTCTCCAATGACATCAGTCCAAATAACCCATTATGGGGGAAACTGGCTAACACTTTATTTGGATGGTCCACTTTAGATGCTTTGTAGATACAATTACTTTCAAGTTACATTCTACTAAATTGACCATAACTACTCTAACCCTGGTTCTAATCCTAACCCTAACCTTAACCTCAACTCAAAACCTAAACCCAACCCTTAGCCAGGCCTAGCCCTAATCAGCAGCTAGTTTGTTAACAATTTGAACATCTGTAGATAATCTATAATGGACAATAGTGGACTATCCAAATAAAGTGAGACTGGAAACTGCCCCCCTAGACATTGATTTCCCACCCTGTAGGAAGGTGTAGCTGCACAGCTGAATCAGTAAAAGTAGTTCAGTCTTTTCAGTTCAGTCAACAAGTATCACCTCAGAGCAACACGCAGCGCAATTTCCCTAAAACCGCTAACGTCCTAATGAGGCAGAGAAATAAATATACATCAGAGGTTCTCACTCAGCCACATTCAGCTCAGCTCATTAGCATGCGCAGTTTCTCTCGCATTAATCCAGGGCTTTCTTTCACCTCCCGACTGCTAACAATGTTCAGCCTCTCCGCCGCTCAAAGAGATTTGGTTATGGCTGGAGGACCGCATCATGTTCCCTTAAAGAGCCACTTTCTTTCTATTTTTCTGTTTTTCTTTCTCTTTTTTTTTTTTTCTGAAATGGTGATATCCGGCGAGAGGCTATCCCGGGAATTCATCCGCAATTACCGGCGGGCCGTCTGTAATTTTCCTCGGGAAAACAGTAATCATCCTGTGTGATCCTTACACTGAGGGAGAGAGAGGCCTGCCTACTGAGAGAGGAGAGAGAGAGAGAGAGAGAGAGAGAGAGAGAGGAGAAAGTATAGAGAGAGAGAGAGAGAGAGAGAGAGAGAGACAGAAGGAGAGAAGGGAGTGAGACAGAAGGAGAGAAGGGAGAGTGATAGGGTCACAGAGAGTAAGGAAGAGGTAGAGAGAGAAGGAGAGAGGGAAAGAGTCAGGAAGAGAGAAAGAGAGATAGAGATACAGAGAGAGAGAGTAAGGGAAAGAGAAAGAGAGAGCAAGAGAGGGATAGATACAAAAGGAGTGAGGGAAGGTGACAAAGAAAGACAGAGAAAGAGTGGAAAATGAGATAATGAGAAAGAAAGAAAGAAAGAAAGAAAGAAAGAAAGAAAGAACAAGGGGAGAGGGAAAGAGTTACAAAGGAGGAGAGAGAGTGGGGGGGTAAAAGAGATAGGAAGGAGAAGAAGAAAAGAAGAGAGAAAGGTTGAGACAGGAATGGACACAAAAAGAGAGAGAACAAGACAGAGAAAGGAGAGGAAGGGGAAAGAAAGAAAGAAAGAAAGAAAGAAAGAAAGAAAGAGAAGGAAGAAGAGATAACAGGATAGAAGAGGAGAACAAAAAAGGGACAAAGAAGAGAGACAGTGAAGAAAGAGAAGAAAGGAGGAAAAAAGAAAGGATATCAATGAATAAGTAGGTGCTAGAGATGGAGAGATGAAGGAAAGCGAGAGAGATGAAAGGGGAGGATGAGAGAGATAGAAAAAGAGGGAAGAGTGAGACAGAAGGTTGGAAGAAAAGGAGACATTGAGGGTGTTAGTGAATGAGAGAGAGAAAGAGTGAACGAGAAAGCAGGAGTGAGAGAGATTAGGAGAGAGGGAGTGAGAAAGTGGCAGAGGGAAAGAAAGAGGGAGTGGACGATGCTTAGTTAGCAGAAGGAAGCTGATTTTGTTGCCCTTCAGCGGAAGCACAGCACGGTGCTGCAGAGCCACGGCCACCCTGCACCGTCCACTCAGCGCCCAGAGCACTCGGCCGGTCAGCTGGAGGAGCAGTACGCATCACCGGCTCAGTGGGCAACCAGTCTGCTGAGTTAAAGGGGAATTCCACCCATTTTTCAAATTTTCTGTGGTTGAGATGTAAACAGGGTGATTCAGAGTGGTTTGGTGTGAAATGGTTCAGATGTCTTTACAGTGGTGGTGATAGGAACCAGGGGTCACCATGACTACAACACAAATATAGACATTTTATCTACTATCCAGAACCACCAGTGAACCTACACACATCTTATGAGTTTTTAAATGTAATGTTGATGGTGTGAAAATAGTCACAACACCCTGCATGTACCCCTCTTCTTCTATGAGTGGCTACATTTTCGATCAAAAACTTTCTGAAAACTATCATAAAACAATGTTTTAGGCATCAGATTCAGAACCATTTCATGTAATAACTTTCTGTGAGGGAGCTTTTAGAGTCATTAAACTCTTCAGACGTCTGGTTCCTATCACCACCACTGTGAACAGTTTTGACTTGGTAAGATACTTGAGAAACAAACCCGCTCTGAATAACTTTGTTTACATTTTAATGTTTTTATTATTCCGAAATGTTTAAAAAAATCAGTGTAATTTCCCTTTGAAATAGAATTTCTCATTAGATTAAAGGGATTTGTGCAATGGGGAAGCCTCAGGGCATAATTACTTCTGTGAAAATAAAAAAGAAATACATATCTGTAATTTCTGTTCATTTTATTAGAATCATCATGCTAGCATTTTGTATATGTTGTATTTAAAGGGACAATTTGTAAGACTTTTAGTTAAAAATATTTCAAATTTAACTAAAATTATCAACAGAATGTAAAGAAACAACAGTTTTTACATT